TTGGTGAAGGTCAGTGTAAACGTGTCACAAGTACCATGGAACCACCCCGTAAATTATTCGAGATGAAAACATAAATTACAAGGACAATATCTTTTGGTAAAAAATATAAACTCAAGTATTTAACTCAATATAGATTCTATCTCGACATGTTTTTTTATTTACTGGATGGAAAAAAAATAATCGAATCGAAATTAAAATCAAATAAAGATAAAATTTTCTTCATATTAATCATATAATAATAACTAATTTTCCTTAACACAAAACTAACAAATTAACAATAAACTATAAAAATAAGGTTAAAGTGGTATTCGACTTTTTTGATATACTATTTTATGAATTTATATAATGAAATCTCGAAATCTAGTCAGTAATCATCGATAAATTCTCAACAGTGTTCATCATATCGATTTGAATTGTTTTTTATAAAACTAAAAAAATAATTAAAATAAATTAACTTTGTCTTCAACTTGAAATTCATTAAAAGAGAAAAATTTTCAAAAAAAAAGAATATAAGAAAAGAAGAGCTTTTTTTTTCTTCGTATATCATCTATCGGAAACCAAAAGTAACAAACAAGAAAAAGAATAGAAACAAATTTTTTTTTCCTTTTTACTAAACTCAATTTTATTTATTAAAAATGAAAAACAAAAGAGCAAATGTCGATAATCTTTCGAATAAAAGGATTCAATTTTAATTTATCATCTTCATCGAAAAATAGTTCTGATCAATGTTCACCAGCGGCAAAACAAGAAGAATCAATCGATACATGGAATGAAAAAAATCGTCGGAATGATAATGTTTTTCATCCAGCTAAATTTAAACAAACATATCAATCAGAAAATGATTTTGCAAATAATCATAATCATAAGACATATAATGAATTTTCAACAAAACCATTTTATTTAAATTGTTATCATAGTTATCGTCCTCTACCAAAACAATCACTTAATACAGATCAACAACTAAATATTTGATCAACAATTATTAGAAGGACATTCAACAAATACTCATATTAATAAATATGAAATTCAAATTTATACAAATATTACAACGATTCTATTATTAATTATAATTCTTTATTTATCTCAATCTAAAATTTTTCGAAAGCGGACTCGAATTTTATTCAATTCATTTAAATAATAATATTTATAGAGATTGAAACAGTTAATTAATCTTATTTAGATAGATTTTCACAAGAGTTTTGTTTTTTGTCTTTATTTCATAATAACAGTTTTACTTTAGCTAACAATAGAGTAACATAAAATAGATTTTTTTCTTATTTAAAATTTTTTTCAAATAATAAATAACAATAATTACACTATTTCTGCATAAGGAAAATAGTCTTTTATATTTACAGACAAAATTAGTGGTCTGCGGTGTAAAAGTAGATCCTTGATTTGGACACAATTAACTCGCATTGCATCCCTTGTTAAATTTTCCGTTGCTTTTTGTAAACAATTATAGTGCATATCAAGAAAAACATTATTTAATAAACACATTTTAGTATTAATTAAAAATTGTTTGACATAATCTTCATGAATATAAACAAGGTCAAGTTTAGTAAGACGAGACTATTGTATGATTGACCATTGTTGATTATTATTCTTTTGCTTTTCATAATTCCATAAACTTAACTCTTCAATAAATGGAAATGAGTGAGCAATTTGAAGAAAAAATTCATGTTCAAAAGAACGTTTATCATGTAATGAAATTTTCCGAACATATTTAAATAATCCACCACGAAAATTATTCGATATGTCATTATAATATGACCATGTATATGGATACGTATAAATGTGACAATAAAATGAATTTTCTTTGAAAAATAATCAACAGATGAAATAATTTGATTATTTTTAAAATTTTTAAATGTGATTTCAATATCTTTATTTGATGATAAATTATCTGACTTATTAAGATGAGCAAGTGAAGAAATATTAAATGTGAATTTCTTTAATTTTGTCATATAATTGATAATATTATTTTGCAAATTATCACCCACACCCACACCCAATTGCTTCTAGAAAACAAAAGAAAAATTAATGAATATTTGTAAGTATTATTCATTCATTCAAAAATAAGATATTCATACGAGTAAGTTACTTCAATTACTTTCAATGTGACGAAAACCGGCGGTTAACCGCGGTTTTATCGGTCCGGTTACCGACTCCTTGACATAGAAAAACCGCGGTTTTTTCCCGGTGAACCACTAAAACTGATTCGGCTTTTGTGACATGGGTTCATTTGTGTATACTGCCAATCTACTATAATTATCAATATAACCAATTGTAACAAACGATTTATTAAGCTGATTGAATCGACCATCAAATAAACTAAAAAAATAGACGATATTGTTTACTTCGATATGCAATTCTAATAGAATTGGATAGAGAATAAATGGAAATAGGCTACCAAATACAACTTGTTTATGATAAAAAGACGCATTGAAATTGAAATATTTCAAACTATTGAACATTTTAAAGATTTGTATATATATGTACATTTGTATCTTCGAATGAATCTGTTGGTCCACCTTCTTTAATATCAATAACTAGTGATCAAATTTGATATTTTAAATTATGAAACAAAAAACTTCTATCTAAATAAACAAAATATTAAAATTTTTATTAAATGACTTCTTAGTTTTTCTTTCATTTACTAATGAGAACTGGGCTAAGTACTCAATTATGATTTTGCTCATTCGCATACTCGAAAGGTTAGTACTTGTATTTGTACTCGTACTGTTACTCGAGAAAATCCCTACTTGCTCAGCTCCATTACTTTTTTAAAATATTCTATTCTCTTTTCTTTATTAATAAATTAAATTTAAATAAAGATCATTTAAATTCTATAATACATTTTACTCTATCATTAATGCAGCGTTTTTATCTTAATCATTTACTTTTGGCTTTGAGAATCAAAGAATTTTAATTGAAAACATTATAAAATCATATTCGTATTTTCTTTCTATTGATGTGATCATTTTAAATTTTCTTCAAATTCATATTCATCAATACATATTAGTAACAAAACTATTTTAGAATAAAAATATCCCTAATAACTAAATTCTGATTACATAAAGTATATATTCAGATTAATTATCTGAATATATACAATCATTGAAAGAGTTAAAGAAAATATCTTACCAGTAAAGAGATCTGTTGCTCTTTTTGATGTAAGATTATACAAGCCAAGTCCATGTAAATTAGGATAATTTGTTACCTGAAGAATAGGTTCAATCCATGATGATTCAATATGAATCCATTCGATCTTATGATGAATTTGAGGTATAATTTGCAGACAAAATCGATCAAGTATTGGACCAGTCAATTGATTTAAATCATTAAAAGGTGTTATTAATGTCAAATTTCTTGTAAAAATCGAATCATTTACAATCCTGTCGAATCGTTTATTAATACCCATGACAGAATACAGAACTTCAGAATTGTGTAATTCTTTCAAAATAATCATAAGAATTTCATCAGGTAAATCACTCAATTCAATGCGTGAATTGAACATGTTTATTTTCACTTATGTTCTTTTTTTTGCTTTGCTGATAAATATTTATGTATTCATGTCGTCTATGTGACCGATGGAGTCAATGAAAACAATAATATATTTCTGTATAATCTAAATTGACGATGAACGAATGAATAACCGGCTGAATCATCTCTTTCCTCTCTCTTTTTATTCAACACTGGCAGTTTAATATATGTCAATAAACAGTCAGAAAATCTTTTTACTTTTTATAATGTAAAATAGAAAATTCTTGTTGTTCAAATGTCAAGTAAATATTAAAAAGTGACAATTGAGTTGTTGTCTGAATCTCATACTTCATATCAAAATGTCTGTAAGAAAATCTCAAAACAATATTCAATCGTTGTACGATTGCTCGATTGGTTTTATAGAAAAGAAAAAGAAAAACTATTCGAATTATTTCATATAGGTATTTCTATATTACATTATGCAATTGATAGTAAAAATTAGAAAACCGTTGCTGCTATCGTTACACATTTTAATAAAGATAAAAAGAATTGAAATGAATACAGAAGTTGGAATAGAAAAATGGACACCATTATATCGCGCAGGTAAAAAGAATATGTTACAGACTAATAAAATATTTTCTAAAGGAATTTATCTAGTTATGTATGATTGTAATCAAGAAATAATTGAATTATTTCTTAATCATGGCGAAGATGCTCAATGTGAAGATAAATCAACAAATACAAGAGCTTTACAAATGGTTATTATTCGAGATAATTTATTAACAACACCACAGTTATTAGTTGAACATGGAGCTGATAGAATAACATTAAGCAAAGAATAGTTGATAAAAACGATAAAATCAGCTTTTATTTCAAAAGTACATTGTTTTTCTAGGTTGGTGGTAAAACAATTCAACAATTAGCTATATCAACAAATAGGATGATAAATGATAAATTAATTAGTTTTCGATAAAATAACATTTTTATTCAATAGGATTTAATTAATTATGTCACTTCTTTGATAAATGTTCCAAGAAGTTAACAATCAACTATTAGATTTGTATGAAAAGAAAAAAAAAATTTTAAATAGAATCCTTCTAATATTAATTTAGTTGATGATGTTGTTGGTGTTTAATGACGGAAAAATTTAATTCCTGAACACAAGTTCTGGTAATACATAATGACTCCATTGCCCATATGATTGACATCGTTTACAATGTGGACCAAAAGCAAATGCATATATAGCAAAAATTCTTGATCGAGCATAAAATGCACCATTATCTAATGGTTTTATTTCATCCCATTCAGTAACTAAACGTGAATTAGCTCGTAATACTTCTGCATCACATCGAACTGTTTCACATACTGTCAATTGAGTTCAAAGATCTGTTATTAAAAAAAATGAAAAAAAAAAGACTTTTCTGTTATATGTTTCAATTTACCATCATGTCAAGTACAACAAAAATGAACATCTTCAGGATATGAACGTCTTTCATAAACAGCTGTTGATAAATCAGGTACAGTTTCACGTGAATCATCATGAAAAAGTTTTGCATAATGATCTGGTTATTCAATACGTAAACAACGAAATTCAAATGGTAGAACCATTTGTTTTTCAAGTTCATTAAGTGATTCTAATGGACATGGAGAAATATGTTTCAACAATAATTGGATCAGTTAAAGATTTTTTTTAATGATGTATTATTTACATTAATTAATGATGGTGATGATGATATTGGTTTAATATCAATATAAGAAAGTGGTATTGATTCAATAACATAGTCCAATAATGCAGATGATTGTAAACATAAATTTCGAAAAATTGATGAACGATTATTTGATAATAAAATATCGTTATCAGATTGTTGAATTTTATCTGTATCAAGAATTACACATGTTGGAATTTAATAAACTTCATATTGATGAAGAAGTACTGGAAGATAAAAGAAGAAGAATGATGATGATGACATGATAGGAATGAATCAAATGAATGATTTGTTCTGTTTAATAACAGTGAACGAACGAATGATGGAGAGCAAAAAAAAGGTATTAAGCTGTCCGACAACGATTAGACGGTAAAGATGAACAAACAAAGTGTTTACCGATCATGTCATGCAAACAATTGATGTTAGACAACCATATATATGATGTTTAGGATCTAATCTTTTGTCACTTGTTGTTGTCAACGATAACAAAAAAGAAAAACAATCGATAAATCCGATGAGCAGTTGTTTCTATTTTTGTTTTCAATTCATCGAATTGGTTTTTTGGTTTAAACTACTTTAATTTGATATTAATCGATTAAACTAACCGTAATTAATCAAGTGTATGACACTTATTGTCTAATTTAAATAACGAAAAAAAGAGGGTGTGTATCTGAGTGGGGTGTGAGTATTGGTACGGGTTGTTCATGTGGGTGTTGGTGTGGCTCTGGGTCTGGGTCTGAGATTTCTACCGCTACAGCCACAACCCCCACACACACTCATCCACACCTACGTACACATCCACACTCTTATACACATAGTAGAGGCTAGTGTTTGATGAGTTTCTATGCAAGCCGTTTTAACAAATGTCGCTCCGTTCTCAAGTTATTAAACTTTTTCTCAGATCACTACCATCAAAAAATGATGCTTTTTGTGATTCTTTTTTTCTGCGACTTATATCTCTTTAAGAATATATCCGTTTGGCTTGAACTTTTTACTGTAGGTCAATCCTAAGTCGAGGTATTTTTCATTAAAAAATGAACTCGATCGGACAAATCATTGATTAATTGACCTGCAGTACCAAGTACATTAAAAAAATTTCACTTTATTGTCTTTTTTTCATATATATATCCATTCAATTAATAAATCGAGAGAGCTAAAATTTTGGCCACAGAGGTTGCTCATTGAGTACTAACTCTAATAAACCACTCATTCAAATTTACTAGTTTATCTAGAAAATCAATTCAAACTTAATGTTCCAATATACAAAGTACACCGCTATTATCTGAATATAATGAAAACATGTTTAACATCATAAATCAACATCTTGATTCCCATTTGATGTTTGAAACTAATATAAAAACAACTTTTCAAACCAATGATTTTAATTTTTTCACAATTCATAAAGCATACCATTATATTAATCTTCTAGAAGACGAAATACAAAAATCTACACCTTTTGTAGAAATACTAATCAAATTTGACAAATACCATTAAGGCTATATTTAGTCACGTATTCGTGGTACTTACAATAAAAACCAGCTATTCTTTAACATTTCAGGAAACTATAGGTTCTGCCCAAGAAAAGGCTCATATCATAAACATAATGCAATAGCAGTGTTCGTAGACAAAAAAAAGCGGATATTTACGATTCGTTGTAAAGATCATGAATGTAATAACATATCTTAGACTTGGACTTCTCTTGAATAAATTTTCTCATGAAGTATCATCAAAACAATGTACAAAATCCATACATCTAGATTACTATCTTGTCTTTACTACCTCTTTGTTAACTTATATAACTATGCCACTCTTTCGATACTCATCCAATCTTCCAGAAGCTACTAAATGATGAGAAAATTACACTAAACTTTGAATACCTGTCGGATGTCTAGACAGTCACAGGCAATTCCAGGTAGCTCTTGCTCAATTGAGTAGCTATAGAAAAGCATTAAGTAGCTGTAGATTCATTAATTAGCTATAGGAGAACATTAAGTAGCTGTAAAATGATTAAGCAGCTGTAGGCCAATTGTGTAGCTATAGGAAAACATTAAGGACCTGTAGGCTCATTAAGTAACCATAAGAAACTTCAACTAGCTGTACCCAACACAGTACCAGAGAGTATTATTTAAAAGTAACTATTTTGAGAGTGAGTCACACCCACATCCCACATCCCACATCCCATGCCACACTCACACCCACACCCTATAATTCTCGGAAATTTTATTCGATCGATAAACTCAAAGCTGAAACAAAATCTTGTTTTGGGAGACTAACTCAAAGTAGTTCAAAGATATCGAACATGCTAACCTCTTAGTTCAGAGTTGTTGATTCTGTCCTTGATAACATTGGCTTTCATAACGATATAAAGTTTTAAAAAACGGTGGCTCAATTGACTTTTGAATTGCCCATAACGGCTTGAGACTTAGAAGTTAAGCCTGCGTCACTACTAGGGAATACAAGTCTGGAAGGGAATTTATGTCATTCATTTGTTTGTTGGCTGCTGAACACGGTAGATTTGTTTACAGACTGTGTTTTAATGCAGAAATTGGTAATGGTACTAAATAGACTCACGCTCATATTGGCGATAGCCCAAATAGCAGCTGAACCCAACATTTCACCATTTAACAAGGTGTCAACGATATTGCCGACGAAATGCAAAGAAAAATTGATGTCTATTGACATACTAATGATGCTTTCGACTAATGTTAAAACAGCCAAGCATTTGATGGCCATGTCTATTTGTTTGTTATAGCCTTTCATGACATCATTATTCATCAAAACCATAACTGCTTTGATCAATTGAACGGTTCGAAATCGCAATTCATTCTGATACACTATACCGTTTCTACAATCCTACTGTTATAGAATTGCCATCCAATTTCGATAGATCGTTAAGTTGGTCACAGGGCAATTGAGTGAAATGGTTTCATAAGTTTAAGAAGCCACTATCGTCAATATAAATGAACAGGCACTTTTTCCGTAAACTTTTCAATCATTGATATAGGACATCAGAACTTCTTTTAAAAATGAATAAGAAAACAGTCTGTGTAGCTGTGTATGTTCGAAAAATACAGCACGTGATTTCTTCTTTGTTAGATAGAATGGAAAAAATGTTCGTAAAGCTTTGATTTTGGTGAGTTGCTCAAAAACATGAACAAAGCCTGAGACAGTCTTGGAAAGAAAAATCAAAATGAGTTGAAACGTGTTGTGCGACTCAGATGAAAAGATATAGTCACGAATGAGTCATCTCATGATGTCATTTACGATGACACAGGATGAATAACGATAGAAACTGCTTTCGCAATACAGAATTGTCTTGTGACGTTTCTATTTCTTTCTACGTGCTTTAGTAGCGCTATCAATGTGCAGGAGAGCAAAACAAGTATATAAATATGTTTTCGTCCTTCATCTTTTCACATATGTTTTATAGGGAAAGTCGCGATCATCAGCGTCTCTTCTTAGCACCGACATCAAGAGTTTGCATTTGAAAAGACGAGTTCAGGCTCTCAATTCTCAAAATATCAGAAGGTTTAGTAGTAGTAGTAGTGACGTAGATGAGATCAGTACTATATTGGAGTAAACCTACCCATGAAACTCTGTGATCATCTTCAGAGTTCCTTGTCCTTGTTTCCAGTATCACTCAGTGAGTTTTATTCAATTGTGTAATTCAATTTTTCATAGCACAAGCTATGATCTTAGAATATTGTATTTTCCTATTGAAGTTTTGTAAAAAAAATTATATCATTCCCGCTTTCTTTCTTTCTTTGAAAGAACGTTATTATACATAACATTCTTTACTTTTCTCTTTTTTTGTCCATATGCGATGGTTTGATCAGCGAAAGATAAAACAAGAAAAGAAGATTTTGAGTTTCAATGATAATGGAGAAGAAATAATAACATCTGACATTCTTTATTCTTCATTATTCCATATTTGTTATGAGAAGGAATGAAAGGAATTCAGTAAGTTAATATTGGTCAGAATCCATTTTTAGAATTTGAAAATTGCTTTTTATCCACCATAAAAGAGAGTGATTCCGAGTTACATTGTGTGAATCACGAATAAATAAATTGACCACAGCCTCTAAAAAGTAAAAAGTATTTGTTGCAACATCTCTTGTAGAGAAGATTATCATTCTTCAAAATGCACAGAAAAATTTTGGGAGGACTCAAACAGATGTTTGAAAAGCACAACACTTTATCGGCCACGTCCGATGCCGCCACTACCTCTGTTTTGGACGAACGATTTCACACAGTCGTTATCCGTGGTGATCTTCCAAAGATTAAGAAACAGTATGATATTGGTGAGCGTATGGATCTACCAGAAGCGAACTACTGGATCAACGAACTCATCGCTGATATTACCGGTGACTATTGGAATAGCAATCCTGAGTATAGTCGATTCAAAATGCAACATATGATTTCGAATGGACCGCGTAAGTTCTTTATTGAGTGCTAAATTGTATAGAGATAGTTTGACCAACGAAGAAATGCTATCGAGTTTGTTTTTTGATTATAATCGGAATTCAATTCAACAAGTTTTGCTCCGTATTTCTTTGATAGTCGCGAGTTTCTAATATATGAACTGCGGAGTGAAGTGAGTTTTCCTGTTCACAATTCAAAGGAATGAAGTTTACCTCAACATCATTTCGCTTCTTTTTTTTCTAAATGACTTCCTAATTATCTAATCGTTCTTGAAATAATCGTGGCTGCTCTATGTTGAAGTCGAGTTGTCGTTTTCAGACCATTCTTCGATATAAAAACTTCTATATAATTGCTTAATCGTTCATCTCTCCAAATACATTCAAATTTCAAAAGTTTGAGAGAAATGCAACAATAGACCGATTTACAACACTTGAAGATCGCTGGTACACAGTCTTAAGATAATCTGTATTTTCGTGTATACTTTCAGACACAGCACCCGCTGGTGGTCATGCACTCTTCACTGCTTATCTCAATGCCTACAATTCACATGAAGACATTGTTCTCTCACCAGAGTAAGTCTGTCGCTTTTAAAGACAGAAATGACAACTACATGACTTTATCTGTTTTCTTTGTTTCGTACTTATTAGTGATATATGGTTGATGATAACGATTTACTTTGCAAAATATGTGAATGACAATGCTGAGAAACTACGACATCTTTTTGTCAACCATGAAGGAAAAATTAAATTAATCATCGTACAGGTACAACGAGAACCTGAGTAAGTGATCGATGAATCTCTTTTCGGCTTACACGATGTTATCACTACCTAGAATAAGGTTTCCTTAAACTGGAAAATTTCTTTCCCTTGATTTGTATCATAAATGCTCGAACACTCCGAAATTTTTTCCAACTATTCTTCCGTAATCATGGTAAAAATAAAACTTTGTTCTGAAAACTTATGAATATGATTATGTAGCTGCTAAAAAGTGATAATCATTTGAATTTTTTCTTCTATAGCTGGAACGCATTTCTTGAAAGTATGCGCATTATAATAGGTGAAAATGTCAAGAACGACATTGTTACCCTTTTGACGGCCAATTATTCGAGTACGGGTGAAGTCGAATCGCTCTTATCCTGTGCTACTATCATGAACACCTTCAAACACTATTTCGATTATGGCCTTATGATGACGCTATGTGGCATTCGTAAGGTACATTTTCTCGGCACACTGGATGATTGGTTATTGCTTCGAGAGAAGACAAAACAACTACAGAATTTTACAACGCTAAAGGATAATTTCTCGACCTACATCGACGGTATCTTGTCCATTCTTGATCAATTCATCAACACTTATCAAGACAAAGTGGATAACCGATTTTGGGATAAAATCTTCAATGTTGAGCATGTTGGACGTGGTTCAGGGTAAGCATTCTTTGTTTGTGATTAAGATAAAAAAAAATGATCTAGACTTCAAGTTTACAGGTATGATGTAAAAAAACTTTACCCAGAAATTCAGTTTGAGTGACGTCGAGATTTTCACTAAAATTATCTAGACCAATGTGATTTTCTTCTTCTAAATTTCTATATATTCGAAGATATTTTTGTTTTATAGAAGCTACACAAAGCTCACGGGCTGGTTTCTCAAACTTTGCTACGGACTCCATGATCGAAAATGGTGCAATATTGACGAAGTGAGGTTAAATTCAGTGGTTGCTCCGGTAGAATTTGAGAGCGAGTATACAAATGAGAAGAAGACATGTTATGTGGTAGGTGGATTTCATGGTGTTGAGAGTCGAGATGGATGGCACAAACCTGTCATGTCTTTGGCGATTATAGACGATCTTTCGACGATCACTCAACGCAATCCATAGTCATCAAGTGAACATTGTTTCATAATTAATCAAGAAGCTTCTCTAAATTGTTCTATTTGATCATTTACTCCTATATAAATCTCACTCGATTACGATTTTCTTTTCCAATAAATCAGTGCTAAAAACAATGGAAAGTAGCTTTGTGTTAGTTGAGAGCTGTTGACTATTGATTTACCCATCACTACCCTGTCCTCGAAGTATTCTGACTGAGAAATCGTCCAATACTCAGAAGTAATGACCACATCAATGGCTACTAGCGGTACAAGTTCAAAAGGCGATTTTCATCATTCTGCCACTTATTTGCTGTTGAACACGATAGATTTGCTCATAGGCTGGATTTTGATGAAGTAAGTGACAATGACACTAAATAAACTCATACTTGTGACAACAATGGCCCAACTAACAGCTAGATCCTGATATGAACTATTGTCAGTTCTTTGATCAATCGAACGATTCGAAATCGCAATACATTCTGATATACTACATCATTTCCACCAGCCTACAGTCACAAAAGTACTATTCAATCTCGACAGATCATCAAGTTGGCCAGGTAACAGTGAAGTAAAATAATCTGAAAAATTTGAGAGGCGGCACGTGAGTATGGGTGGGGGTATGGGTGTGCGTGTGGGGGATGGTGTGTGTATGGGTGTGGATGAAATGAAGAGAAACCTACACCCACACCCACACCCACACCCATGTGTTAAGTGAGATTATATGTAGTTATTTTAATGGCTTGTCAATTTTTATTCAACCATTGCATTTACAAGAAATTAATTTGTAAACAAAGATACGTTGATACATAACTCGTTAAATTATATGACATTGTTACGTTAGAATATTTTTCTTTATTGGTGTAACTTAGTGAATTTGTGTGCAAGCATTCAATATCGCACATAGAACGATCTATTTAGATAGGTAAATCATGATATTACACCAGTTTTATCGGTCATATCTCAAACAGTACATAAATGTTCGAATGTACAAGCAAGAGAGAGGTCACGAAAAAAAGAATATCAGAAGAGAGTATTCGAGAGCGAAGGGAAGAGTGTTCTTTAATTTTGTGTTATCTCATTGCTGAAGGATAGCAATTATGATAAACTACGCTATCGGTGTAAAATCAAATTAAAATATTTTGATTTTAGCTTCAAGCCATATTTAGACAACTTTGTTCAGAAATTAATTCTCTATCGAATGGTATATAATTTCACTATGAAATCTGGTAAATATTCTTCCGAAAACAAGTATTTCATGTCTTTTAACTCTTAAATGACCTATGACCCATTATCGTTTATTAAAAGAAAATGATTTGAAACAAAGCAAAAGGTATTGTATTCTAGCTCAATAACTAAGAAGATTGGTTCATAGGGTCACAGTAGTCATGTTATTGTCCATGTTAAGATTGAGAGAGTAATTGTGGCTATTATCATTCTATTATACGGATGCATTGATGAGTTTGTTAAATGCGAAATAAAAGTGCGAATATTGTTGCAATAGGAACGACCAAAGATAAAGAACTTAAACTGCCTGTTGATGTTGGAAAACATGGCTGATTATGGGTTAATGTAAACATGAGAACACGATCATTCAAGCGATCACACACATAGAGATTCCCATTATTATCAAATGCTAAATCGACTGGCTGATCGAATCGATTAGATGTATCGCCGATACCTAAAAATAAAAATTCAAATAATTTTCTTTTTTCTATAACTCTGAATTGATTTGAAAGTGTCTTTGATATCTACGTCTATACCTGATCCGCCAGCAATAGTATCGCCCATAGATGCGTTATATAACCAACGCTGAATTCGTTCATTGGATGAATCAGCCACATAAACAACATGAGTTTCTTCATCGACCCATATAGCAGTCGGTCTCGACAACGATTCAGTATCACTGCCTTCATTTCCATTGCTGAGTCCAGCTACAGTAGTTCCATTAGACGCATTTACTAACCATTTTTGAATGCGATTATTGGCATAATCAGCCACGTACACTGCACCATTGGTGCCATCAACATAAATATCTTCAGGAGAATTGAGATTGTCGCTCGTCGACCCTGAGTAGTATTCTCGGCCAGCGACAACCTTCGTGATATTCGTTTGAGGTGACCATTTGAATACACAATGTTTACCGGCCGATGACAGGTAGACATTTTTCTCTTTGTCAACCCATACACCTGTACAGTAGAAACATTCACCTCCTACTTGCACACCCTGTGTGCCCTGTGATGCCCCTTGAACCCACTTTCTGACACGATGCTCACTTTCAATGGCTATGTAAATTGTCTGTCCATTGTTGTCGTCATCGACATAGATCTTCATAGCAAACGTAATATTGGATATCACGGTGGTACCCATGGCTGGTAACTTATTGAGTGAAAACATTTGAATGCGTTCATTACCCGTGTCAGCCACATACAATGTGTTCGTTTGTTTGTGAATAAAGATTCCTTCGGGTTCGTTGAGTTGATCAGGTTTGTTACCTCTTCCGCCAGTACCAGCCACTATGATACCCGTTGTGTTCCATCGTGCACAAGGACTCACCTGTATCGATCCTGTAGACGGCAGCCAACATAAGAAGACAACTTGAAAATAACAAAATGTTAATAAAACTCGTTTACTCTGTTCAATGTTGAACTTACGAATGTAGATAACGGGAATCTGCATCAATGAAGACGAGCAATGTGACCGAAAAGAAAGAGAGAGTTTTACAATAGTCACAACACAATAAAAGAAGTTTGAAGCTGCGCGTAACTCATAGAGATAAGATATATCTATGCATGTGTCAGATGCGAAACAGATATCTCATACACCTGTCTTCTAGAGGGTAACATAAAAGCAACATGTGCTTAACTATTTCTACTGCTGATACTGTTCTTCAAACAATAAATTTTAATCGTTATATCTCAATCAGATTTGCATATCTTTTTTTTATACAATGCTTCATTTAAGTTATGCAAACATATTGACTGGGTAGAATTGACAATGAAATAAGGCAGATGGCATTGACAACGATGGTTGTTTTTTCTTCTTTCTTTTTGTGCACGTCATAGAATAGCGTCCTTGTGAGGACCTATTATGACGTTGCTTGTCCAGCCATGGATGACGAAAAAAAAGTTCGAAGAACAAGCCAAGAATAAGTGTAACAAAAAGGAAATCGTTACGTACATGAACAATAGGAAGCAAAACTCGAAGGCGTTCGCTGAATAGAAATGAGTAAACCTCATCTGATCGCAATAGATTAGCCCAGACGCACGTTAAGTGAGCTTCCACAGATCGACCAAGAAACCGAACAGTGCTGTACGTAAAAATTTTCCAAGAGGGTCAAAGCCCTATCGGCTTCATCTTGAGAGTGGATGTTGGTGTTAATATCATGTACACCTACATTCAGACCATCAACGAAGCAATGGTACAGAACGCCAATAGAACTCATTATATTTAAGTAAGAGAGACTCTAACCCATTCTGATCTGCACGTCACGTGGAATGTGTCGAGTGGATAGTTTGATCAAGTCTGTTGAAGTGTATTGTGAATTGCTTATGCAAATATTGCGAATATATTATCAATACGGCAGCACAATACAAAAAGAGATCAATCTTTTATTATACTTTCATCGATAGTAATTAGAGATCTGTTTATAGTGTCGTATAGGGCTCCGCGGGACAAGTTCCGCGTGATCCCGCGCCATAGCTCACGCTTACGTGCGTCGCGCGTCTCTTTCTCTTTTTGCTACATGGAAATGTGGAGCAAGCGCTAACTCGTTCATTCAGTGTTCGTCTAGAGCTTGCTAAAGAATGAGGCGAAACAACAACGCTCCGTGCAACTTTAAGTGACTTCGCATAGACGTGCGCTATAGCGTAGGATGGGGCGGAACTTGTCTCTTGGAATCCAAGTGTTGTATCTTGCTGTTCTTCTTCATAATCGTCATTGGCTTATAAGATTTCGTACCAAGAGTCTTTTACAAAATGACAAATAAAAGTACTCGATCAGAGAGAGATGTCGAAACAGCATACGCAATAGCAAACTATGAAATACATGCATTTTGATCATATTTCGCAGAAAAACTCAATTGATGTTTTTTTTTGTTATTATTTGAGATGTTTTGGTGCAGATTTGTGCAAACAATAGTCTTAATGATAAAAAAAATGAACTACAGGCAAAAGCTTGCGTCTTTTTTCGAAATATGATCAAGACTGTAGTTTGCTCCTTCGTACACCAAGTTGATGCTTTTCCGAGAGTTGATCGGACATGACGAAAAATCAATGAACGGGACATAGAAATACGCGGATAATCGGCTGGAGCGAGACGATGCCTAGGAAGACTTATTTTGACAGAATCGGAATTTCACAAGGGATTCATGAGTTGACCAAAAACATAAATAATTGGCGACAAATCGATCGATTTATTGAAATATTGATACTCAACTTCGTACGAAAATCGAAAATATCATTCTTTGTCGGTGACGGGCAGAATTTTGTTAAGCATTTCAATATTTTGAGTCAAGTTATTGGATTTTTTTCTTTTATAAAGGTAAATGCCGATTAAACACAGAATAATAACGAATATCGAGGGAATTATTGTCGCCAAAATTATTTTCGTTTGTTGATGTCCTTTTGATCTTTCCGACGAAGCATGAGTGCTTGTGATAATACTTTGTTCAGTCAATACAAGAGTACTTGAAGAGTTTAGCGTCGTTATTGTCTGGGTGCTAGTGGTTTGCGTCGTGGTGCTAAGAGAAGATAATGATGTCCATTTGGTGAATGTCAAAGTAGTTGTATTATTTGAAAATAATTTACAAAATAGATCTATACTTGTACATCGCCTACTTAATTCATCTACGACTGAATGATTGTATAGACAAATGGGGCGATGTTCTGTGTCAAAGGAATATAGAAAACAATTACATGGATGGTCAATGTCAACGATTAAAATTGTCTTATTCAAAATATCAACAATTGATTTGGTTAAACAATAGTCATTGTCAGTGAATCGGATACCATATAGAATTATACGAGGTCCTGGTGGATAGTTCCAATTGATAGACGAATCTTCTCTATTAACATCAGTTTTCCGATAAAGCCAACTTTTTTCCGTCATATTGACTTCAGAAAGATCCAAAAAAAATAATGTTTGAAGCTTTATAATGATAAACCAATTGATTTCGATCAAATTTGTACAATTCGAAAAGGATAGACTTGAAATTGTTGATGAGATGGGATAGAGAAACGAGCTTGTTTGATTCTTGAACAGTGATGTGTTAAATAACAATGGTTCATTTGTTTCAAGCGATGAAAGTCGATTTCCAGCCAAATTTAAATAGTTGATTAGCGTTCCATTGAATGTCATTGAATCGATAAGCTCGATTTGATTATAACTTAAATCAACTGATTTAAGTTTATGTGCTTTTTCAAATATATTTCCATTCAATGTCTTTATTCGATTGCAGCATACTGTCACATTGTCTAAATTAGTCATATGTTTCAATGGATTCAAATTATGTAGGAAATTATTTGATACAACGAGTAAAGCTAGCGATTCATTTAATGGATACAAAAACGATGTTGTTTGATTGTCGATTGTTAAAGTTTCAAGTGATGTTAGACGATTATTATCTAAATTTAATTCAGTCAAGCGCAATCCAACAAATGAATTGAGTTCAATGTTTCTTATTCGATTATTAGACAAGTCCAATCGCCATAAGCTAGCCATATTGTTGAATATATTTACTGTAATTTCTTCAATAAAATTATTCTTCAAATCGATTACTCTAAGCCGTTGAAAATTTTCCAACGAGGGTATTGCAATCAAGTGATTCGATGTTAGATCCAAGGGGATCGTTCACATATTACGCCATCACTTTTTGAACTA